TTATTATTATTATTATTATTATTAACTTCTATGTGTGTAAGTATGTGTATTGTCCTTTCTCACCACACAATGGAATAACCATTCGAAATGTACTTATTTTATTTTCTCACCTGTTAATGCTAAATTTATTTTTTTTAATTATTATTAATTTAATGCCATAATATAGACTGTCTTATTTGTATTTTGTCTTTTAGTTATATCTATATTTCTATGTACTCATGCCAGCTTTGTTGTTGGTCTCTGTGCTATTAAGTTTGCACGTAAATAAACACGAATTGAATCGAATTGAATTATTATTATTATTTGAGAATGCACGGAAATTTAACTAAAAATATTTTCATTCTCAAACTTTTTTCTTATATCCACGTCATTTAAATCATACGTGAAGGGTCTTCCCATATGGAGTATTGTAACCGTCCTTCCTTTATTTCGCCTGTGACTCCGTCTGAATAGTCGTGCAGGAAGTTGTATTCGATGGCGATCGGCCCCTCTGCTCCGATGACCACTTTGATGCTGCCTTACCTGTTGTTGTCGCTGCTGAAGTTCCTAGGTCGTAGCTGGTTTCGGCTTGACCCGGCTCCACCGCTTCTTCCTTAATTTGAGATTATTAGTGGTTGGATTTCAGAATTGGATTCGATAACATGGGCGCCAGCAAACAGCTAGAGGCTGTTTACGATTCGATAGTGAGTGGTGAAGGGGTGGGCATGTGGAAGCTGACGGTGGGTTTGACTAACTGGTGGAGATGAGTATCTCTTCAGGTCGAATACGGGTCAGGCTCGGATAAGTGAGGGTGAAACACCTCTGATCAACACAATGAACTTTACACCATAACATTTTATTGTTGTTCCTGCGATTAACATGATGCAACTTCCATCACTGCCATTAGACTTGATACACTGGGCTTAGGCACTCTGTGAGATAGCTATTGGTGACGGGTATGGTTCGAGCTGCGAAGTATAGCTTACTTCCTAATGACACTTGGCTGCGTAACTTCTCACAACCTGATTTAGTTTCGGCTGACTAGACGCGGGTGTTACACCTCCACTAAAATGTACTTGATCAGCTCGCCAAATTCCTTTGTGCCGTGCTCTTGTTGATCAACCTAAATCTCAGTATGAGTCATTATGAGAGCAAAAATTTTGTACTTCTTAGAATAATCTTTTTGCGCGTGTGATGCGGGGTTTAACTCCGCCAAGTTCAAATTTGATAGACGACTAAACTCTTAGACTGACCTCTCTGCCGAGCCAGAGGTCCTAACTGAGTTGTGTCTGCCTATTCTCCTCTCCTCCTGATTTCCCTGATAGGCCGATTCAAATAAGGGGAGTTGGCTTAATTTTGGTTCCGGCCAATGGCAGACTATTTTAAGGGAATTTCGCCTTAAAACACAAAACGGCGAAATTACCTGCGATGCAACTTATGAGGGGTCGCTAATGATCTCCAGGCACTCCCACTTTTGACTTACGGCTGGTAGAAACTGTCACTTCTCGAATTCTCAAAGTGTTTTGTCGTTGTACATTTCTAAAGAATCTCAGTGAGGTTTCTTGAAGTGTCACTTTCTGCCCTTTTGGAAAATAACACCAGATGCTTGGACGTAAGAACTAGCAGATGTCCTTGTCCACGCAAATTTGATCTATCTGCTCGTCACCTATTCATTTTTCTTAGAATATGTCTTAATAAAACCTTCATTTTTCGTAACTTCTTATTATTAAACTCTATTAGCTACTAAAAAAAAGGGGGGGAAGGATTTCGATGGTGCGGTTACAGTATAACGCCGTGTAGTCCGTTGAAAGTTAACAGAATTTTTGGAGTAACAAACTTCGTAAATGAAAGCGTATTTTAAAAAAAAATAAATACAGTAACATGAATAATACCGCAATATTTTGTGCTCTGTATGTACTCAATCCAGTTACTAATACAGGATATTAAAATAGGCCACTACCGCCTTTTCCTTTCCTGCGACTCCGCCCTTCACAGTCAACGCGTATACAATATTTAGCAAAGCCTCATTAGTGTATAAAACGATTATTTTCCATTCTGTTCATTGGCAAAGTATAGTAAAACAGCTGTGTTTCGGAAACTGGCTCTGTTTCCATAATCATGTGAACCTTCGGTCAAGCGATCCTCGAACCATGTTCAATGACTTTTAAATTTATTTTACATGTGAAAAATATGTTCTTCTGGGATATAACGCGGTATAGTTAGGAGAGATCCCGACTTTTCGGAGGAACATATCGCCTCCATCTTCAGGGCCGAAGCATGACAAAAACAAAGCAACGGTCGAAACATGGAGCAAGTTGAGCTCGTCTGCTTCTGCTGGTATCTTGCGCGTCTTATCCTTCTACCCTGAAAATTGAGGCCGTATGTTCCTCCGAAACATCGGGCTGTTCTCGAATTGCACGGCAGTACAACCCACAAGACCACGCTTCATAGCTACAGCCTTGGGAATCCCAAGTCCAATATTCAGTACGACCTCGATACTTCACACAGCATAACAATTAATAACTTAAGACATTGTTACACAGGGTCGTGGAGGGAAAGGATCCATCTTCGTGTGGGCCTCTGGGAATGGTGGCAGTAAGGGCGACAACTGCAACTGTGACGGCTACATTGGCAGTGTCTACACGCTGTCCATCGGCAGCGCGTCGCAGCAAGGGCAGTTCCCCTGGTACGGCGAGCGCTGTGCTGCTACCATGGCAGCCACGTATTCCAGCGGCGCCTACTCTGACCAGATGATAGTAAGTATACATTCGGTTGCACTGCGTTGACAGACGCTTGAGGTTCTTGGTCAGAATACTGTAGCACGCAGAGACCCGTTGCTAAGTAACGACAAACAGCTATGCAAGACCCGTTACTAGGCAACAATTGAATTACAACAGAGGAACGGTGTTTTCTGTGCGTCCGTGTCGAGATGTTATACGTAGGACAATTGGAGCGATGAGTCAGTTGAGAGTAGAATTAGCCAGCGGGCAATGACATGAGCACATAAGCTGAAGAATTTCCATTGTCAAGATCCATTACTGGGGAACGACTAGTGAAAGTAGTCTGAGAAGATTTAGCGTGTGCTGTAGTGATTTGCAAAGTGTGGAGAGTAGTGATGGCGCTATAATTACTTGTAGTAACGAGTTGTGTGCTCCTCCTTGGAGCATAAGACGTCGATGAAACGCTGTGTCAGTTCACTTGCTCGACAAATATTTTGATAATGAATCACAAGTAATAAGAAAAATTTACGATTGAAGATTTATAGCAGCATAAATGCATTTCCCGAGGAAAAGATTTACACGATTTACAACCATAAATGTAAATTTGTACCTGCTCTTAATTAATTAAGCACAACACTATGGAGATGTGTGGAGAGTGCTGGTGCAGCTCCACCATTCTTGACTTCGGCACTAGATGGTAGTGAGTAATCAGCTTTACACCTCAGTCTCTTTAGCCGTGGGGAAAGAACCCCGGTGCTGGGTGGACCCCAGAGCCGGTCTGCACACTGTGAAGAAGAAATTTTCTCCTGTCGGGAATTGAACCTCGGCCGTCCACCCCTAGCCCGCCAGTTTATAACCATAAAAGAAATCAAGAAATTTTGAGAGAGCTATAGATGATACAGATAACAGAATTTATAGGTGAATACAGAAGTAACCGGAAGGACACTATAACAGGATGGGCTATTATAGGATTTATTTGTAAACGTGTTTTAATGTTGTCACCTGTAGTGGTGACTTCTAATACGGAATTTTCATTGGATGATTGGATTTATTGTGCCTTATACATTCACACAGTTCGGGACTACAGGCAATACAGCGCTATCGCTGGTCTACACACTCACAATTCACCGTTACACACGCACTAGGGTTCTCAGTCTTCACTAGTCGTATCCTGGCAACGGATTTATAAGAGCCTCACTGTTACTTCAAATCACACATGAAGTATTCTCTTCGCACCCTAATTTCTTGCTATTTCTTCTCAGTCACCTTCGACTGCCATCTCCAGAACTGAACCAATTTCTTGACAACAACTACAACTCAAATGAACTCTTCTTCAAATGAAATCTAAACTTCTGACAACTAACTCTTATCAAGACTTCTTTTTAACTACTTTGCACAGACAACGCAGAAAACACATATTCAAAACATATTGTGTTGTTAAGGAGGTGTATTTACTGATCCGTTACTTAGCAATGGATATCTTATTGTTGTTCGCGTTTGCTTCCGCGTGAATGTGCTTAACGAGTTGTTGCCCAGCAACTAGTCTGTACGCCACAATATTTCAATTTCAAAAGACCATTCGAAAAGCTGTAGCTGCGGTTGCACAAAGAATTGCATCCCAATTGTTTGAAATTGAAACTGCGAAGACGGGCGTCTGCAGCCTGCCCTTACAGAAGATTTTCTTTTGATTGTTACGATTTCCAGAGAGAAGGACTTTCTTAACAAGGCGTATAGCATTTTATATATTGACTTCCCAATGCTTCTAGATCCACCATTTGAATCATTTTGTTTATTTCACAGGCTACCACAGATCTGAGGAACACGTGCACAATCAAACATACCGGAACTTCCGCTTCTGCACCCCTTGCTGCAGGGATTATCGCACTCGCTCTGGAAGTGAAGTACGTTGCTGTATGCATCATCTTCAATTTTCTCCGCTATCTCATTTCTGAACATTATTTATCAGTAATGGATATTAATATGGCCACGCGGTAACGTAGTTGGTTGAGGCACAGTGCTACAAGCCGGAAGGATGCAAGTTCAATTCCTGATGAGGTAATTGGAATTTTCAAATGATCTAATCCTTCCAGTCGCACTATGGCCCTGGAGTCGACTCAGCCTCTATAGGAATGAGGACCAGGAATCTTCCGGGGGGTAAAAGGTGGCCGGCGCGTAAGGCTGACAACCTCATCACCATCTGTGAGTCGATTTTCTACAGAAAATGTGGGAGCTTCGATGTCTCTCAACCCTATGGGCCTCCACGGTCCGTTACAGGGATAATTTTGTCGTTTTAATTCATAATAATAAAATTCGTGTTTTCCTTATCCGTCTGCATATATGTTCTGCCTTTGATGTTTCTAAGCCAGTTCACTCCATTTCAGGTGTGCACAACCTGCCCTTCTGCAATCCTTTCTAATAATGGCCTCCAATCTTCTTTTTGGTCTTCCAAGTGGTTTCCTTACAAATAGTTTACATTTTTTTAATTCCCGCGGGTTAATTATCTGTCGTAACCTCTTTCCTTTTATCACGAACAACATTAAGCGAGTTTCACTATTTAAAAGCCTACCTCAACTTCGCACTTATGCCATCTCTCTCGTTACACCGAGGAATCGGGGTTTTATTTCTAAGCAGGAGAGAGATATTTCTCTTTGCCACATTGTCTATGTCGGTTCCGTGTCCACCCCCAGCCTCCTAACCAATGTTCGCCGGTTACTATTTCATCACGCGTACGGGGGTTGCTATGGAAGCTGATCACCCACCGCATTCTAGTGCAGATATTAAGAATGCGTGGAGCTTTATCTCATCTTCCTCACGTCTTTATGTCGTGGTTTTAAAATAACCATAGAGTCATTTTTACTTACTTCGCCTTGAAGGGTATTGCCTTCTGGCTTTTGACCCTGCACAGATCGATAGAAGTTCACTGACGTTTCGGAGAAAAATACTGACTCCATCTTCGGAGTAGAAGAGTAAGCCAAGAGCATAGCAAGAAATAAATCAGGAGCAGAACCCCTTCTTGCTGATTCCTTGGGCCACTCAACACATCCAAATTGGAAGCAGTATTTGCTTGTGGTATATATGTGTGTTTTTTTCTATCAAGTTACACTGCATCACTCAAAGAACATGGTACTCTTAATAATCACCGCTGTGAGAACCTCATATCCAACTTATTTTGCGTTGTTTAAAAACAAATCGAATGGTTCCGTTACAGTAAGAGACCACGTATCACAATGATACAAAGGAAATCAGAAATAAAATATTTCAGGCCTTAATTTGTTGCGTTTTGGAAAGTGGGCGGTACAAGAGATGGCCTGTAATGTTGCAGCCCTGAGCTAACTTGGAGGGATGTGCAGCATCTGGTGATGTGGACGGCAGAGTACGCCCCTTTGAGCGACAACACGGGATGGCAGCGCAACGCAGCTGGTGCCTGGATAAACACACGGTTCGGTTTCGGACTGATGAACGCCCACGGTCTCGTTACTGCAGCCACCAACTGGACCAACGTACCGCCCAAAACTATATGCACAGCAGCAGCTGAACCTCTGTGAGTTTCTCTTTTATCGTTGTCGAAACATTGCGAATATATAAGAATTTATTGTTCCCTACAACGTGTAGTGGGAGCATTTCCTTCTCCACATCCAGGAGCGAGTTTCTAGCTTCAGATAAGACCGAAAGTAAGAGCTTCGTGTGGCCGCGCCACAGCTCAAGCGGTTAGTCGCTGGCTTCCCACCGCGGCGGCCCGGGTTCGATCCCGGGTCTAGTCAGGTGGGATTTGTGGTGAACATAGTGGCGCTGGGGCAGGTTTTCTCCGAGTACTTAGGTTTCCCCTGCCAATGTTCATTCCACCAATTGCTCTACAATCACCCTCACCTATCATCTGGGGCTTGTACAATAGGACAGAAGTGGCGGCAGTACAAGGGACTTAGTCCCACCTCAATAGCAATAAAAAAAGAGCTTCGTGTACAGCATCATTGTTATTGTTCACGTTTAAGAAAAATTGAAATTTGATGGTAAATTTTTGTGAATTTTGTGAATATTGGATGTCTTGAAAACCGGTTCAGCCGCTGTCGGGTTGTTTACGATAGGAGTGTCGGATGGACAAAGAGAAAACAGAACTCGATTCTAGAAGGGGGTTTCACTTGATATTGGAAGACAATATCTTGTAATGCACTTTGAGACGCTGAGGAAGGAAATGAAGAGTCGACGACAAAACAGAAAGTAGCCTTATCGAAATTCGAGTGACTGCCTCCCGAATAAAAGTCTCGACCATTATTCCTGTAAGTACCTTCTTAGCAATATCGGGCCATGCTACGCATTAATAGTACAGAATGGAGATTTGAAAGTACTTGTTCCACGAATCGCCTTTACCTGTAATCTTATAGGAACAAACAACACGCGGAATATTTCTCTAATTTATGTTATAGTTTAAGTGGGTTATTCCTTAGGTCTTTATGAGTGGAAAATATGTCAGTAAGAATACGATTCCGAAAGGTTGTAGGCATATTGGTAGGGAAATTGAGATGATCTGAAAGCGACGAACACATTTATTGTCATGAGAGTTGTCATTTAATGATTTATGTTACCTTATAAACCCCCGATTTGCACTGTTGTTATAAATGTTCGCTCCGATATATACGTACATAATTGGCTCGTTCACAACAGTACTTATAATTCGACAAAGAGTATTTATATCACCGATGCATGTGGCCGCATCCACCTTGCGACGCATTGTGTCCTCACATGCGTCGCCTTGAGTTCATAACAAAGCGGTCATATACTCCCACAGATGAAAGTCAAATGGGTTGAGTTTCGGTGATCATAGTGGCCGATTCTGCGTATCCTATGGCCATTTAAAGCTCTGCACAGAGCTGTGTAGCCGTTGAGAACCGCAGCCATTTTGATATGACAACTTCACTTAGAATGGCCTCAGGGAAACTCTCCTGATGTTATGATATGCAGTCCTGAAACACTGTATACTCGTTAGAATCTTGCAGCAAATATGAACTACTGTACCCCTAGGTTTGTGACAAACAGCGTCGGAGAGAACCCCTGATGACGCAAATAATTAAGAAAGACATTACGAGTTGCTGTAAAACCGGTTGCACTTACAAGGCTATGCTCAACCCAGCTCACAGAATTCAATTTAATCTTATAAATTGTTTCAACATAAATATAAAGAATTAAATGAAACAGAAGCCGTATATCTAGCTCCTAGAAACATATGAAGCACCCGGTAACAGACGATTCCGACGACGTATTGCACCTGGATTACTGATTTTCTGGACTTCGCCCATTATAAAATAACAAAACATTCAGATAACTGGATCTTTTCTGTTCTCAGGTCGAAAGGTGTGGAGGCACCTATCAAATTGTGTCTCCAGTTAATGGAATAAACGTTTCTAATGGACCAAACTTTGTAGTGTCTCGCCACCCTTTTCAACTGAGAACTGAAATAAACCTAGTTGCTTTCTTTCAGAATATTTTGACAATGAAACTGATCAGTTGCATCATCATAATCCCCTATCCATCTATCTATCTATCTCTATCTATCTATCTATGGCTCTGAGGCCCTTTGTTGGACCTTGGCCGCTTTTCCAGATTCTTGAACTTTTACACAGTCGATAGGACTCCTTAGACGGGGGATCAGCCCGTCGCAAAGTCTCTACCTGCACACAGGAGAGCACAAACATAGAATAAATGCACACAGACATCCGTGCCCTGAGTGGGATTTGAACCCACAATCCCAGCGTTCGAGCGAGCGAAGACATTTTATGCCTTAGAGAGCGAGCCACTGTGATTGGCTTATAGCCCACTATAATTAGCTTTTGTAACAAATATGAACCCGACATGAATACCTCCTTTATGTGTTCCGACAGAATACTAGGACAACAGAGAAAGTACAGAAATTCAGTAACCTCGAGTATATGAAGAATTATTTTAATGCTAAGAGGACATAGATAATTTATTTTTTTTCAGGAAGAACAATACAATTTCACACGGGATACGATCCGAAATACTCTTCATCACCGACGGCTGCGAAGGCAAGAAGGAGGAAATAAGGTTTTTGGAACACGTGGAGGTGGTGACAAATATCGCTTTCACTGTGCGTGGAGCCTTGGAGATGCACCTCACTTCTCCAGCAGGTTGGTCAACAATGCCCAGAAAAACTATATAACTATATTGTATCGTCCGTTGAATGTTCCTTAGACCAGACTGCATACGGTCTCACTTCTAGACAGGACTTGTTTCAGCATCCATGTGGGTTAGAATATTTAGTGATTCCCTCGGTCCAAAGTTAATATTTATTTGACATTTGAAATACCCTAACATAACAATTATAACAATCGGGATAGTTCAGTCGGCATAGAGACTAGGCTGCTGGCTGAATAACTCAGAAATCACAGTTCATTCCCTGGCACAAGCGAGACGAAATCTTGTATCCATCAAAATCACCGGGGGCAAAGCGGCCGTGGTTTGAAGCTGCTCATTCCACTCTGCCGAACGTCGACGCTAAAAATAGATGTGAATTATTATGCTGGCATTTGCCGTGGTCTCCATTTTTGGTGTTTAATTGAGAACAGGGAAAATACACTGTGACATATGGGCCGTTTCTATAACAATAGAGGAATGTCCGTGAACATTCTTACTGCAACGAATACAGGCAACAATAGAAGAACTACCAGTTAACACCCCCTTAAGAACGTTAACAAACAGGGTAGGATAAGTTTCTACCCCCTCACGAGCCGGGATATCTCAGTAGTTATAAAGATGGGCTACGGTATGGACGGTCAATTTTCGGTTCCCAGTATGGGGGAGAAATTTTTCCCTACTCCCCAGCGTCCAGATCAGTTCTGTGTCCTGCCAAGCCTACCATTCAATGAGTGCTGCAGGCTCTTTCTCCGGGGGTAAAGGGACCGGTGCATGAAACTGACACTCACCACCATTTAATGTCGAGGTCAAGATAGGCGGAGCTATACATCAACTTCCCAATGCATCTTCATAGCATGTTGCTTAATTAATTAAGCACAAGGAGAACTTAACTTATTTACTTACTTACTTAACTCCTTCTGATATTACGAACCACAGTTTGAGAAACTATGCTTTAAGGGGCACACATGTAAATCTCCATACTTTATATGTCTGAGCTGTAGATATTGTCACGTGTCTGGGGTTCCGAGGCTAATAATAACGAGTTCTGGAATACATGATTAATTTTATTAACAACTTCATTTACAATCTCCTTTATTCACACTCAATTAGAGCGCTGTCGCTAACATATCCACTTCACAAATCACTAGGACACGCTTCATTCTCGTCCTTGTACTCTCAGCTACTACCAGCTACCAATTCCAATTCTGTTCTCTGTCTTGTTGCTTCAAACTGCCCCCCTCATATAGATGCGGCATGGACCTACAGCAAACACGTGTCAGGTGTCAGAATGCGTGACGCGGGCCACATAACGAAACATCGCTTCCACTATTGTTCCGAAGGCATTTTATTGCGCCGTTGCATAGCAATGGAAGTTCTATTGTTGCGTGCACGTACGTTGCGGGAATGCGTCTACCAAGATGTTGCATAGTAATTGTTATATAGGTTACAATATTATAGAATGGCTAGGTTCATGCTACGATACTGTTTATCGCCGGGAATCAAACCCAGTAACCATTAGGTAGGGCTGGGGAAAGAAACCCCAGCAATCCTGCCAGGAATTGAACATTTGCTAACAGCTCAGCTTGTAAATAAAGGAATACAATTGAAAAATAAAGTAATTGTAGCAGCGCTCAAGGGGCATACAGAAGTGGCTTCCAAGCGACTGAAGTAATAAAAATGTTTCCAGGTACTCGAGTGCAGCTCCTCAGCCCTCGAGAACGCGATCAATCAGACAAAGGCTTCGTGGGCTGGAAGTTCTTGTCGGTACTCTCCTGGGGAGAGCAGCCTCGTGGCAAGTGGGTTCTCGATATAATTGATCAGGTAAGCAGGATCACAGCTGACTGCATGATTGGGGGCCTTTAAAAGTCCCCCATCATAAACTTGGTGCTCGGGGATTTCATTCCAGAGTCAGGATATCATGAGTAGATAATTTAAAGAAATTGTTTACACTTATTTAAGAAGTTCTAAAATTTTATTTTACGAAAATTACGTCCCTTATTTAACTAATGTTCTTACCCTATAACCAGCAAAGTGTCGAATAGAGGATAAGTTCCAAAGTTATGAACTGCAGATTTGATACGTTGCTGCCTGGTCAAGGCTATCACACATCTCAAGGGGCCACAATGGGTTAATATTGAGAAGTAATGACATGATGATTAGCAGGATAGAATAGATCAGGTTTGTGCAGCGGCAGTGCTCTAGATTTCTATTCTAAGGATGCTCCTTTCGAAATTGGTCCCAGTTATCCTGACAAGTATTTCGTGGTTTTCCCAAACTCTCCAGGCAAACGCCAGTATGCCATCTCGACTAAGTCATGACCGCTTATTTAAAAATCTTTTCCAGTTCATTATTCAGCCCAATATTTAATGCTGTATAGTTAGATAAGAGAGAGTCGTATAATAAGCCACAAAAGTGGTGATATTCCAAAGAAACCCGGAGAAAACTCCGCTCCAGTAGCACTTGAACCACGTAACTCATATGTACTCATCTGGGATTGAACAACAGTCCATTTACTATATAGCAATAAACCCTTTAATAAGGGCGGTGCCATAGCTCAGGCGGTTACCCGCTGGCTTCCTACTGCGGCGGCCCGGGTTCGATCCCATATCAAGCCATGTGGGATTTGTGGTGCACAAAATGACACTGGTGAAGTTTTCCTCCAAGTACTTCGGTCTCACCTCCCAATCCCCATACCACTGACTGCTCCACACTCAACATCTATCATCCAGAGCTGGTACAATAGGCCAGTTAGTGACCGACGCACCAATTGGACTCAGTCTCACCCCACCACACGACCTCTTTAATAGCACAGAAGTGAAAGCGAATAATCGCATACAGTATTCTCGGTAGTTATTAGTAAAATAATTATTGTTTTATTCCAGCCAAATCTTCTAGGATGATCAGAGAAAAGTTATATGAACAGAACACGGAACATACAGGGGAATTTTGAATGTATAAGAAACGTTGATTAGGAGGATAACTTGTTAACATGGGCGTAATTTGAGGAATGGCACTAAAAAATCATACAAGCTTTGATTGTGTCAAATGAACTGTGCTGGCCCAGATACAATCCAAAGGCTACTTCTTGATATATCTGTGGTGAAGCTCCACTTTGTAAAGCAGCAGAGGAACTCTTTATCAGGTTAATAAATCCAGGCTTATCTTTCACAAAGAAGATTCAGTACAACGTAGAAAAGCTTAAGAACACAGTGTAGAACTTAGCATTTAGATCAGTGGTCCTCAAGCTTTTTAGCTGAAGGCAACAAAAAATTAGGCACTATCATTCCAGTTACTCCTTTTAGTATAATTATATCGATATGTTAACAAATTGACAAACAGATCATAAAGTAGCGACATGCTTAAAGACCAGACATTTCAGCTACATTCTTCCAACAAAAAATTTTAGGATTTGAGACCCTCACACTGCTGGTTATAAAGTGCTGTATCTTCTGGGATATAGCGCCGTGTGGTGCGTTGAAAGTCAATGGATTTTCGGCGGAATATGTCCCTTCCATCTTCATGATCGAAGAATAAACCAAGCAGGAAGCAAGCGTGAACCAGCTGGCAAGCAGAACTACGTTATATCCGAGAAAATAGAACACTTCATGAAACTTTTATTTTAACTTCCAAATTCATAATTATTTTGTGAATATTATATAGTTTTTTATTTCTGAATTTCACTTCTGTAGGTCGTATCTAACCTGTTTAATGTTATCGCAGAGCCCTACACCTACATTTAAATTACTTAACTTCGATAATCATCTGCTTTACTTCATACTGATCTCGCTTTATCAGACACACTAATTTCACCCCTAGGTCCCATTCTTTGTCAACCATTAAATCCCGGAACATGTAAATCAATAAAGTGTTTCTCGACGCAAGGGGCATCTTGTGAAGGCCGGAAATATTTGCATTAAAATTATTTTCATGATTCGATATACCAGGCACATGAAAACACGTCCTTCAGTTACTCTTTCGGGATAATAGATACATACATTCTCGAGATTAAGTTGATGGGCGGGAATACCTCGAAATTTCATACAGTCTGCTTTTAATTAAAGTTCTTAGAAGCCTTTCTCATGTTCAAAAGAAAGAGAGAGAGATAATCAGAAGTAGCAATATTGACATAATAAAGGAAACCCCCTGCGTGCACAGATGGAATAAACTCGCCTCCGTAGCACGTGACCAAGAAAAAAGTGCCACAGGCAAAACAGAATATCAGCGTAATTTGGTTCCAGGTGGAAACAAAAAGAAGTGAAATTTCCGAGTCCCTCCGGGTACTGAATTCCTTTTGTGCTTATTCTTTCTGCCTGCATTAATATAATACACAGAAGAAAGGAAATACAATCGAATTATGGAACACATGAAAGTATCAAATGTATTTTTTTCTATTTTTGAAATCCGTAATATTCTTGTTACTTTGAAAACTCAGAATTCAGACTGTGAAACGTATTTAATTAGGATCTAATTAAAAATTTATGGACCTATAATTAACTGTATTTTATATGTATGAAATGCGACTATGTAAAATAAGTGTCACGTAACTTTGAACAAGGCCAAGAGTAACCTTGTATGCGCAGAAGAAAAATTTCAGACAAGGGGGTGGGTTCGAGGGTGTGAGAAGTGACAGGCGGCCAGTTGTTT